GTGCCGAAATACGTATCAGTTTAAATAAAAAATGAATTTCAGGGTACTCTGGTTTTTATTATTTTGCTTATTAAAGAAAAAATATAAATATAATGGCTATACCTATTAGTCGATGTCAATTTAGGCTAACTTAAAATTTATATTAGAATAATTCCTACTATAATATTTTGTTGCGTTTGCAAAGTAATGTCTGATGCATCTAATTTACTTCATAATGACGAAAAGAGGTCAAAGTTGTATAAATTGGTAACATACGTTTGTATACAGGGTTAGGCAAAAGTCTGGAACCCCCCCCATTAACTTTAAAACGAATCACGCCAAGGAAGCTAAACTGAGCACACCTTTATATGAAATGAAAATGCACTTTTTGGTCAGTATAAAAATTTTTTCCGGGACCCCAAAATGGGGGATTTTGGGGGCAACTCAAAAATTTCAAATGTTAAGCCCCATCGAGTGACACCTCATTTTGAAGGTCTTGATTTAAGAAAACAAACAACGCAAACTAGAGGTCCCTATCTTAACCCAGTCAAAAATGGCGGTCACTTGAAATTTCAAAAAAAGCAATTTGGAAATTTGAATAAAAAGTAATAACCCCCCTTCTAAGTTTTTTCTAATGTTAATTACAAAGATATCCTTTTGGTGGTTGTGCAACCTTCGCAGGTACTTTATTATTGTCAATTCAAAAATTTTGAATTTGCACCGAAAATGGGGGATTTTGGGGGCAACTCAAAAATGTCCAATTTTAAGCCCCATCGAGTGTCACCTCATTTTGAAGATTTTGATTTAAGAAAACAAATTGTGCAAACCAAACTTTGTCATCTACTTCCAGAGTAATTTTATTAGTTCACTTACAATTATTGTACATTGAGGAAAACCAGCCGCATTACTCGAAAAACCCACATTGGAAAACAATAACTCTTGAGGGCAACTTTCACCGGCTTTGACATTCTAGGACCACAACCTTATCAGTAACTATCAGACTGGCATTTGGGTGAGACTAACCACTAGCCAATATGGTATGTTTCATAATTTTACTGTAAAATGGAGCTGAGTGAACAAGAGCGGATCACTATACTAATTATGCGAGGATATGGTGACAGAATCAGAAGTTATGTACAGGTAAAAAACTTATTTAATGATTCTTTTCCTAATCGTAACCCTATTTCAAAATCAGTAGTAATAAAAACTGTTCAACGTTTTGAAGAGACAGGCAGTGTCAAGGACCGTCCCAGATCAGGAAGACCGAAAACTGCTACAAACGAAGAAAAGTCATTGGATGTTTTGCAATCTGTTGTAGAAAATCCCCATGTCTCAACAAATGTTGTTGGCCTAAGTGTAGAGATCTCCCAAAGATCAGTGCGTAGAGTTTTACACGACAGCGGTTTTAAAGCATACAAACTTCATTTAGTTCAGGAACTATCTGAGGATGACTTCGATCGTCGAGTAGAATTTTGCGAGTTAATGATGTCACGTATTGATAACAATACTATTCAATTAAATAACATTGTTTTCTCAGATGAAGCAACTTTTATGGTAAACGGAAATGTCAACAGGCATAATTGTCGCTACTGGTCTGATGAAAACCCTCACTGGATGAGAGAACAACATACACAACATCCGGAAAAATTAAATGTTTGGCTTGGTATTGTAGGAGATAGATTTATCGGACCGTTCTTCATTGAAGGTAATCTTAACTCTGCAGTGTACCTGACAATGCTCCAACAGCAGATTATTCCCGCTGTCCAGTTAGCAACTAATAACAGTGATCAGATTTGGTTCCAGCAAGATGGAGCACCTCCACACTATGGCCGGGATGTCCGCACGTATTTGAACAACATGTTTCCAAATCGCTGGATAGGGAGACGAGGGGCTGTCGAGTGGCCTGCAAGGTCACCTGATTTGTCACCACTTGATTACTTTGCTTGGGGCCACATTAAAGATAATGTGTATAAAACAAAACCACAGTGCATCAATGATCTGAGGAACAGGATAGTTGAGGAAATTCACAATGTTCCACGAGAATCCATTCAACATGCTGTTTCACATTTTTACAACAGGCTAGGACATGTCCAGACAGTACAAGGGGAGCAATTCGAGCATCTTTTATAAGGAAATTAGGTGAGTAGAAGCAATAAAATTTGATAATAATTATTAATGTTAAGATGTTTTCCTACGCCATATTGAAAGATAGTGATTAATAAGAATTGTAACATAAATTACGTCTAATAACGTTTTGCTTTTTAATAAAACTTAAGTACGCACTGTTTATTGACTGTTTATTGATCAAGAATCTTCATAAGAGGTTATTAAATAGTGTGATGCATTTTCAAGTGACCGCCATTTTTGACTGGGTTAAGATAGAGACCTCTAGTTTGCGTTGTTTGTTTTCTTAAATCAAGACCTTCAAAATGAGGTGTCACTCGATGGGGCTTAAAATTTGACATTTTTGAGTTGCCCCCAAAATCCCCCATTTTCGGTGCAAATTCAAAATTTTTGAATTGACAATAATAAAGTACCTGCGAAGGTTGCACAACCACCAAAAGGATATCTTTGTAATTAACATTAGAAAAAACTTAGAAGGGGGGTTATTACTTTTTATTCAAATTTCCAAATTGCTTTTTTTGAAATTTCAAGTGACCGCCATTTTTGACTGGGTTAAGATAGGGACCTCTAGTTTGCGTTGTTTGTTTTCTTAAATCAAGACCTTTAAAATGAGGTGTCACTCAATGGGGCTTAACATTTGAAATTTTTGAGTTGCCCCCAAAATCCCCCATTTTGGGGTCCCGGAAAAAATTTTTATACTGACCAAAAAGTGCATTTTCATTTCATATAAAGGTGTGCTCAGTTTAGTTTCCTTGGCGTGATTCGTTTAAAAGTTAATGGGGGGGTTCCAGACTTTTGCCTAACCCTGTATGTATAGCAAAGCCGAATCAAAGCAATTTTGGGAGCTATCTGATAAAGTTAAACATTTGAAGTTTTTGTTTTGTAAATTAGTTAGCTTAACGGGCTGACTAGTTCACTGGCCAATAATTCTAACTAATCCCAGGCCAACTAGATCAATACATTTTGCAGGTCACTAAAATCACAATAAGTCTTAAAAATCACAAAAACTCTTACTTGTATAAAAAAGGAATGTCCTTAGTAATTTAAAAACATACCATTGCTCAGAGTATATTTATATTTTTGTAAGAATATATAATTTATTTTATTTTATAAATGTGTGGAATATGTTTTAAAACAACCAAATTTGTGCTAAGCCACAAAGTTTTCAAGATATTTCATAAAACAAAAACACTACAATATTTCAACTTTTCCCACCTCTCCAAAAACTGACGCTCTAACCGATGTAAATTTTTACCATTGAATACTGGGACTATATTGAGCTTAGCATTCACTTTAGATATTGAGGTTTAGTACCGCACTAATGAGTACTACGACTATCCACAGTACTGTAATAATCCTGATAATTAAATCAGTTCGTTAATTACAAGGAAAAACGTGTTTCGGATTCTACCATTATTCCACTTGTAAGACTACAAGATCGCGCCACTCATCCTACACTCATATTTGGGTTAAACTACGCACACAGTAGCATCCCCATCTTAAATAATTAATATAAATGGTCGAATTACACCGTACTATATAGGAAATTCGCGAACAGAGTAAATAGTAACAAACACTAACACACTAAACAATTTACGTTCACATATTTATTCCCCACTAGGACTGGAGTGGAATTCTCTGAACTGAGTACAACAAATGTAAACATCACCTTCTCCCTCTGTTATCTGACCCGATTAAATCGTGAGTAACAAAATGAAGGTAATTGGTTCAAAACGCTCTCTGCTCTCTCATATGACGGTGTAATTAATGTAATTACTGTTGCTAACTGAGAGCTGCAATAACAACTCACGGTCTGCACACATTGGTACAACATGTAATTAGGAATTACAGTGAATTGCAGGCAGAGTAATTATTGTTTGGCTACATTTGGTCAACATAAAGTGTACGGGTTTACAGACTGGTCAAAAAATAAACCTTTAAAGGAGACTTTTCAAGGATACAATAGACATTTTGACTTCAACATGTTAAATCCTGTATTTCTAGTTATTCAGTTTTATACAGGGCGTATAAAAACTCTGTGGAACGCTTTATTATTTGTTAGGTCGAAAAAATGGAAAGACATTAAACATGGACTTAAGATGTCCGGTTTTCTGTCTGTCTAGCTATTTGTTATGTTATTTTCACAAATGTAACCAAACCTAACCCCCGAAAGCAGTGACAGATAGGATCAACCTTAACATTTTTTCAAATTAAAATGGTGGCCCTTTTAAAAATTCTTATCTTAAAATTAGGTAAATATATTGAGTTATTTTAGAGGTTCAAATTTGATACAAACATACATTTGTAACAATGCTGATACATTTGTAAAGTATGTATCAATACTACAGTATATAATAGCACATAATTTATGTAATTGGAGAAATCAAGTGCCGAAGAATCAGATGGGCTGGTCATATATTAAGAAGAGGTGAAGTTTGTAGACTGGGAAGAGTTTTAAAGGGAAACACTACAGGAAGACGACCCCGGGGAAGACCTAAGCAGAGGTGGTGGAAGCAAGTGCAAGAAGATTTGGAGAGAATTGGGGCAACGGAGGATGATGCGAAAGACCGGTTAACTTGGCGAAGACTTGTTGGTGCGGCCAAATATCACCTCCGATATAAATGGCCCTGTAGGTAAGAGTAAGTAAGTATCTTTCATACGCCTTGAGTAAGTATATACATACATTTGTAAAATCACATAGACGCAGACAGACAGAAAACCAGTCATTTTAGACCCATGTTTATGTGATGTTTTTTCACACCTTCAAATATACAAATGGTTTCCAGAGTATTTGTATACACCCTTTTACGACGCCTTTAACCAATGTCAGGGTACTAAAGTATAGCCAAATTTGAGCTAGCCTACTTTCAATATCCAAAGTCAATGGATATACTCACTTGATCGGTCCACCTTGACAACGTAGTATTGAAGGGCTGTTTGTGGCTGAATGTCCTTTGATTTTTATCAGTCTTGCACCACACTCCGCCCATCTGCAACAGAATACATCATTTACAGAGTTATTTTATATTATTAAGTGTGTATGTAATATATTACGTCCTGGCCTTTTGCCGAAACTATTCACAGATAAGATCTCCGCTCTATCGAAACTCTCTGTAAATATATCACATTATATTTAGGCCTAGTTCAATTGTATCAAAGGTTCCTAGGCCATTGCTAATTTATGTTACTTTAGCTTGGGTGATTGATTTTGTACGCCCATAAAATGCAAGATCGAAGTTAAATTGGTTAAATGAAGTTAAGTAAAGGCAACTTTAATAAAAACCATATCACATCAACGCAAAACGGGCATTAAATATGTGTTCACAGTTCCTACAACATCATACCAGATTTGTACTGGGTGTCCCAGAAAGGAATGTATTTTTATTTTGGAAAAAGCCGAATGTCCAAGAGAGATGGGATAAGGAGCTAATCAGGTCTTTGTAGCTATGCCCGTGGAAAATCATTTGCCATGGATTGCTTTACCGATAAGCAGCGTGCTTTCTGTGTACGTGACTATTACCAAATGCTTTCTTATGTGATAACAACGACACTTCCACGCTTAATACAGACTGCATGATCTCAACCAAACTCTAGTGAACATAATTAAATGCTGGGTGTGCAAATTTGAAGCTACAGGATCGACTATGAACCCTCGTCTCATCGGTCGCCATAGAGAAGTGCGTTCTGAACAAAATAACGAGCGTATTACTAAATTTGACCGTATTTCTTTGAGGATAACCAAGGGAACACTATGATAGTAAAGTCCCAGTGATGAGAGTGGCTAGTTGACACTGTTAATGAAAACTTAAAAACTATAGTTTAAAAGGTACAGTTGGGACCCGCGACCTAAATTTGGGTACTCCGGGCACCCTTTTCAATCTACATTTTGGAGGGAGGTCACCTTTAGCACAGAAAACATACTACTATAACCCAGAATGCCAACCGCATGGTAAAAAGCATTAAGTGTTTTGAGAGAGCTTTGCCTGTCAATCGTAGGCAGCGCCACCAGCGTTGCTATGCTGAGTGCATGGCAACGCTGGTGGCGCTGCCTACGATTGACAGGCAAAGCTCTCTCAAAACACTTAATGCTTTTTACCATGTGGTTGGCATTCTGGGTTATAGTAATATGTTTTCTGTGCCTTTAGTTATGTTTCACCCAATATTTTTAATACATGAAAAAAATCAAAAGATTATCCACCAATCAAGAGTTTTGGAACTGAAGTTCTCACTACGGCATTAGTAACATTAATCAATACGGCAAGGTTGAAGGATCCTGATGCAGTTTGGCAACGATTTCAAGTTGGTAATTATACGATTAGTCAGAGTTCGTCTCCATTTAACTACCTACATAAATCATCAAATGAGATCGCTTCTGAGTAACAACTTTGCTAACTTGACTGACGGATCAGTTCAATTAGTTTATAGTTTTTGCTCAAAGCTTCGTCGTCTTTGGTACACTGTGAAGTGAGTAGTTAGATGATCAGGTTTAATATATCGCTGGTTTTACAAGAGGTTTACCTGGTGTAGGGGTTAAAAAGTGGGAATTATGGTTTGGAAGTATGAGTTTACATCATGCCAGTCAGCAATGCAATGTGATGATAACCCACTTAATAACTTGTACTCTTAAAATATAAAACCTGAAATATACACGAGTACAAACCGGAAATTCTTGGTATAACTCGTCAAAAGTGATCGACATTGTAAATTCTATAAATTTTACTTTATGTTTAATAAATATTTGTTGTCCAATGTTTACAGTATAAGTGTAGACATACTCATAATACCTATTCCATTATCACGTACCCATTTTCCGTCTATTTATTTCTCGTCATGATTCAATTAAGTAAAAAATGATACAAATTTAAGCATGGCTCAAGGGAATTTTAGGTTAATAAGGAATGCTTTAATGTTTAATCCTTTTTAAATGTAATTAATGGTAAGTTTTCTTAGCAGTGTGTATTTTTTATGGGATTTACTTTAGTTATTTTTAGTTTTAGAGACATTTACAAATTTACAAATTTTTTGGCAATAACATGATTTTGATTTATATGGAAAATATTTAGAAGCATTTAATTCAACTAAGTAATGCACTTCTTATAGTGAAATGCTAACACTTTAGTTGCAATGACAACATACTTTACATGGAACTAGAGGTGCGACGGTATATAACCAAACCACACACCTGAAGGTCTAGGTCAACCTGTTATTTGTCACTGTTACTTTGGTAACTGTTGCGCAATCGTTATAAAATCCCGTTATCGTCTCGGAACCGGTTTCTTAAAACCTACTGTTAAGATGTTTAAGCTATTGGGGAGACCTTTTGATGTTAGAAAGATTAGGCTTAGAATATGACAAAGTCCAGCTCCACAGAAGACTAATTTTGTAAAAATTTTATCAAAAATATTTCAGTGTTTACAAGGGAAATTTAGTTTCAAAAAGAAGTTTTTATCATAAGTTACAGCACCTTTTAAAGTCACTTTTATGTTAACAACAAAGTTAACAACAAATGTTAAGACATTTGTTGACAACACTTGTTTGCAGCAAATGTGTAAGCATGTCGTTGTAGATTCCGGTGTAAACGTGGCATTAACTATTATTGTAAACTTATGTTTCTGAATTGTTTTGAAAACAAATTTTCCTACAGTCACCTGACAAAGTGGCCTTCCTTGCACTGATTATAGCACAGAAAGTTGCTAATTGCTGCATTTACTTACTTTTGCCGCACTCTTTTTACTTTTGCAGCACTCTTTTTCCACACTCCAGTATTCCAACCCAACAACACAAAAAAGCGTGCTTTTATTAGGCACGTTATACGTGTACGCTTGAAAATAAGTTTACATTTATTACGACTACGATCAGCTGTTGCAACGTTTCCCATTCCGTAAATGTTTGGATTTACCCTAACCTAAAAACGTGATGTAATAGTGTTTAAAAGACTAAATATTTATATGCTTTATAGTAACTGTAGGAAAAATATAATGTGTAACGCAAGTGCAAACTGCCTAGTCCCTTTGCCTACTAGTTACATAAATAACTATTTCTACTGCAAACATTGTAACACTTTTAAAAATTTTATCGTGTTTTATGTTGTGACACCAGTGTAGACGAGGCTTGACTAATAAATCGTCGAATTGTTCAAAGAATTATTAACGTTTTAGCCATAGATGCACATGATAGTTTGCGGAATTGAAGCAATGTATCAAACGAGTAGCAGGAAAAAAGTTTTTAACCTTATGAACAAACACAAATATTCAACTCTTAAATTTAAACCACCTAAGATAACAATGGCGACATATAAATCACACGTGGCTAATCGGGGTTGTAAATTGAGGTGAATTACCATTGAAAATTTACAGAGGCCGTGCGGCTTGATTCGGCGAAATTCACAAACAGATTACAAAAGGCGGCGTGTAAATGTGACGGTATCACATGACGTCATTAGTCACGTGGTTTGGTCGACCAATGGCAGGCGAGATACGTGTCACGTGATTTATGCGACAAAAACTCCCTTTGTCCCCATTTGTATCCTCTGCAGTGAAGAATTTTGATTACTATTAGAAGTTGATGGAAGTATTTAAGGGAATTATGACGTTTGTATGTTTAAAATTAGTTTGTAATTAAAATAGAGAAACAATAAAAGAAAATACTGATTAGGTAACTGAATAGTTTATGACACTGAATACTTTGCTCTTATTATTCTTGGTTATAATATTCGTAATATGTCAATTTAATTTGAAATAGATAAAGAACCAACACAAGAAACTGTTGAGGATTTTGAATATATTCATAGCTGGTTAGATAAGTAGTCATAGCACAGAATAATAATAGAGACACTCCTCATTCTGTTGTTCTAAAAATCGCCTACCAATCTAAAGGTCATTGGTTCGACTCTAGGCAAAGCTAGTAGCTTTTTGATTGCTAAAAACTGAACCCAGATGTCCCTGATCTGGCTTTTAATATCTGATTCTGGCTAAAGAGAAAGTTTATTTTAGTGGGTAACAAATCTACACACATAATAAAATCCATTTTACTCCTACTTAGCTTAAAATACCTTTGCAAAGGTAATTAAGTAGGTTCTTTATTAAAGTTATCAAGCGATTAAGTTCATATAGCAATCTAAAGGTTGCCGGTTTGATACCCAAGAAAGTCATTCACTTTTCCTTATTACAATCTCAAGTAAAACAACAGCTATGAACTGCGTAGGTAAGTAAATACAGTGTTCGCCTAGGAAGGTTCGGCTTTGACTAACCTAACCTCCTACCTAACCTAACCTATATTTGATCGTTTGAATGTGAACCGGGTTATTCTTTATTAAGTGGCTTTTAGCCTTTTAGTAAATGGTCCAGACTTATATTTAAAGCTACACAAGTCATATCAGCCCACCCTTGTATTACATACTAACTTGTAATACACTAGCGTTTTTAGTTACCTACATAAAGACTAAACCGATTTGAACAAATCTAATAAGGGATTAACTTTTATACACTTTTAAATTTGTTGTGTTCCAAATACCAGTTGTATAATCTACAAGTAAAACGCATCACTAAGTATACAAAGGATATCATTAATGAGATAATCTACAAGTTGTGCGAATGTAATTTGAAACCCAATCAGAAATATCGTATAACTTGAGAAGGCGGTGCCTCGTCATGGACTGATTCCTTTGTAGATTGACAAACTGTATCTCGTGTACAAATAATATCTAATACAAATATATAAATCAGTTTCCCAGAAGATAATTTTTTACAAAACTAATACATCATCGTTCTTCATATAAAAATCGCGAACCTAAGCAGTTTTCTGTGCAATCGTTCAATCAAGTCGTACTTATAAAACACATTTTAATACATGAACACACAAATTAGTTATAGGTTCAGGCTTTGAAACCAATAGGAGCCTAGTAGGTAAGATAGGAGCCAATTTGTTGTAAAAAGGTCTGTTTGAATAATTTTCTCGAAGGACTTTTATTGATACTATATTATTTTTTTTC